CTTAAAACTTTTCTTCCTGGTTGAGAATTCTTATATATTTTAACCTCACAGAAATATGGTTATACAGTAGTTATTCTTTCATAATTCACATCCTTGAGATTTTGATATGTTGTCACAGAATTTTTTGCAAATTGTTCCCACATAAGCTGTTTTTAGCTATTTACTTTCTGCTATACATGTTTTAAAAATTTATGCCAATTTATGAAAATACGTATTTGGAGTATCGTATTACCTGATTTTTTCCTTTTTCATATCCCCTAACATATTTTGAATTTGCATAATGACATTTTATATGTGAAATGCTTTAGGAGTTTTATTACTATCTTTCTTTATTCTTTATTAACTTTTTTCCATTAAGGATCATTTGCGCTGATTATTTAGGTTTGTTTCCTGTATAGGTTCTTTTCATTTGTCTGAGTCAATGCATATTCCATTCAATGTATATATTTAAAGCTAGATGTAATCAGTTTGGTATATGATGTATAGCATTTTGTGGTTGGGTCTGTGCTTCCTAGTGGCATCCTGTACATTCTATGTTAAATGAAATCCAAGTGGTGCTGCTCCTGTCACTTAATATATTGTAGAAACTTTGTGGAGAAGATGGATGAAAATGAATGTATGGTCAAGACAGTGGACTTTTTGGCAAATAAATATATGAAAAAAGTTCAACATCATTGGTCATTCAAGAAATTGTAAATGGAAACAGCCCTGAAATTTGATCTCACCCCAGAAAGAATGCTTTATCATCAAGAAGTCAACCAATAACAAATGCTGGAGGGACAGCCGGAAGGGGGGATGGTGGTTGAAGGAACTCTTCTCCACTGTTGGTGGGAGTCTAGACTAGTTCAGGAAATCAGCGTGGTAATTCCTGAAAAAGCTAGGATTGGAGGTCCCATCCAAGCCAGCTATTCCCCTCCTGGGTATTTATCCAGAAGAACTGAAAACATCAAGATCCTGCCCAACCCAGGCCCGGCGAGTGTGTGGGAGAGCTTCCGGCTTCCCTGCGCCCATGGGACCTCCGGACCAAAACTCAGGAATGCCTCCTGAGTGAGACCCTCTACTGCACCCTAGGGACCCCTCCACCCCTCCGGAGCACCTGCCCCCAAGGCTGCCGAGTGAGTGAGAACTTCTGTGACGCTCTTGGGACCCACAGATCCAGCCCAAGCCCAGACCCAGATAGTGTGTGGGAGAGCTTCTGTGCTCCCCAGTACCCCCTGGGCCAAGGGCACAACAGAAGGGCAACACGGGTTCACTGTTGTGCCACAGGGACACAACAGGTTCACTTTCAAGGAATGCAGCAGGAAGGAGCTGAACACAGCAGCTAGACTCAAGCCAGGCATAACTGGATAAACTCAAACTTAATAGATTGCACCCAAATTTCAGTAGGTGCTAAGGTTATAACTGCACCAAAGCTATACACCAAAGGTCAGATGTCAGTGCTATACGAAATGACAAAGACAAGGAGCAAAATGAAATCTTGGCCTTGAGCCCACCCAGAACAACTGCAGAGGATAGTAGCTCAACTAAAATGAATGAATTAACAGCGTTGGAAGTAAAGAAACAACAGCAGAAAGGTATAGAGGAACTCAGAGCAGAATCAATTCCTGAAATAAAAAAAATAAATCTGTGAATTGATAGCATCTCAAGTTAAGAAACAAATCCAGAAAGATATGGGGGAAACCCATGCCCACTGAGAACAAGTGCAGAGGACACTAGCTCACCTCAAATGTATGAATTAACAATGTTGGAAGTAAAGAAACAGAAGCAGAAAGGTATAGAGGAACTCAGAACAGAATTAATTTCTGAAATAAAAAAGAAATCTCTGAATTCATAGCATCTGAAGGAAAAGAATCAAACACAGAAAGATGGAGGAAACCCAATCTGAAAAAAACTATGCAGTAAAAGAATTTATAACTGCTTCTAAAGAAGACATTGATAAAAAAAAATAGAGGATATTAGAAATACGAGGGATTCCTTGAATGAACAATACAGGAAAGAAATAGATCGCATGAAGCAGAGTCAAAGAGATACAGAGGAACTTAAAATCTCAATCACAAGCCTGCAAAACCGTTTGAGTGAAAGTGAAGACAGAGTTTCAGATCTTGAAGACGCTGGTGCAGCTAGTGAAATGGTAAGAAAAGATCTCTTAAAAACAAATAGGATGGAGGAAAAAATAAACCATCACCTGCAAGACGATGCAAAGCTGAACAATGTGAGACTAATAGGTATCAGTGAGAAAGAAGGAGTCAATACAAATGATATAAAAAGAATATATGCAGAGGTAATAGCAGAAAACTTCCCAAATATGAGGAAACAGTCTGACATGCAGATAACTGAAACATACAGAATGCCAAATAACTTCAACCCACTTAAAAACACACCGAGACATATAATAGTCAAGATCCCAGAAATGCAGCACAAGAATAATATACTGAAAGTCGCTAGAGAAAAGAAGCAGATCACATTCAAAGGAAAACCCATCAGAATTATGGCCTGCTGCTCTTCACAAACCATGAAGGCAAGAAAAGCATGGAGCAGAGTACTTCCATTCCTCTATGAAAACAAATTCCAGCCCAGACTACTATACCCTGCAAAACTCTCTTTCAAGTTTGATAGAGAAGTGAAATGCTTCCATGACAAAGAACAACTAAAGAATTCCACGATGATGCGCTCTCAGGCCCAGCATGTGAGTAAGACCACCCGGGGCCGCCGGATCCCGAATAGTCCCAGGAGCGCAGGCCCGATATGTGAGTGAGATGACCCGGGGCCCGTGGATCCTGAATAGACCCAGAGTGCAGGCCGGCATGTGAGTGAGACCACCTGGGCGCACGGATCCTGAATAGTCCCAGAGCACAGGCCCAGCCTGTAAGTGAGACCACCCGGGGCTGCTGGATCCTGAATGGACCCAGAGCGCAGGCCCAGTGTGGAACCCTTCAGCAGAACCCCTGAAAAGAGGCTACAGGCAAGACCCACTCAGCTGATTCAGGAGCAGAACATCTTGCCAGAGTGACACAAAGAGTTCAGCTCCAAGAGCTGCAGCAGGAAGAAGTGGAGCACAGCAGCCAGACCCCCATCAGATCCAAGCAACACCCACCTGGAGGAATCTGAACTTCGTAGATCCAGACCTGGTGCTAAGGTAATAACTCTATTTAAGCTCTACACCAAAGGTCAGAAGACAGTGGTATGCAAAATGACAAAGAGAAGGAACAAAATGCAGTCTCAGGCCCCGAGTCCACCCAGTCCAAATGCAGAAGACACTAGCATAGAGGAAACTGGAAATCACACACCTGATATTTCTGAAATAATAGCGTTGGCAGTAAAGAAACAACTGCACAAAGGTATAGAAGAAATCAGATCAGAAATAATTTCTGAACTAAAAAAT